TGTGTTTATGACTGCAGTCTGTACTGTTTAAACGGCAGGCAATTGACTTGACTCCCACTATACATTTACTTATTCCATTCAATGTGGCAAGTACTGAGTTCGGTAGGGACTGGTAAGACATTTTGACGTTTGCTTAGTGCTTAATTTCCAGCGAAAAATTAAAGAGCAGTATTACCACAGTACTAATATTGTAATTTGGGACCCCCAACTTTGTTTTGAAGTTACCAAATTTACGTGAGTACTTGATTCTTTTCAGTCCCAGTTTATTGCTGTCCTACAAATTTCTTTAATAATGCCAAATGTCGTCTAAAAAACCCATTTCTCAAAATTTTTGCGGGGGCTGCGCACCCAGACCCCTGCGCACCCAGACCCGCCTGGGTTGGAAACGTCGGCTTCGCTCACCAGGGCCCCCCCCCCTCCCAAAGAAAAATCCTGGCTACGTGCCTGACGACACCCAATAATCATTTCCCTGGCTATATTGTCAGAGTCATATGGTCAATGATGTAAAATGTAAAAATAATTTTTAATTGATAGTCTGATATTAATATATCAGGTAATTGTACTATATGGTTGATTGATTGGTTGATTGAAAGACCCGAGGGCTTTAAAACAGTTTTATTAAATATAAGTAATCTTCAAAATAATAATATTACAAACATAATATTACTTCTAAAGTTCTGAGTCTTTCAATTCATTATAATCCCTGATTTTCAAACGTTATTTCTACTCAGACTCTGATCACCCAACAGAACAGTCATTTGTCCCCAGACCAAGGACCACCAGATTACGATAATAAGATTTGTACCGACTAATAAGGTTCTGAAATATGCAGTCCATCCCACGAAGCCGTGCACTACCATCGTTACCATGGCAGCCCTAAATTATTCAGCGGGGAACTGAGACCCGAATAAGCACTCAGTCCAGTAGACAACATGGTCTATCGTCACCACTTTCAGAGTGGGTAGTCTTACAACTAGTCCAAACCAACACGGTCACGTGACTGTATTAAAATTAATTAGAACTAGCTCAGGGCTGAGATTACCTCACTTCACTCAGGAAGTCTGCGTAGAAATCCAACTCCGGAGGTATGGGGTGGAGAGAGCTTTACTCATTACTCTTGAGAGAGAAGTTGCTGTTTAGTAATTTAACCCCGTTAGTAGTAGTACTGGGACCGTTCCCGTAGATAGCTTCAAGGACATGAAGCTACATAATTGGGTTCACAGATTATACTTGTAAGTACTAATAATATCGCCTAGAAGTTGAGGAGTGATGTTATTCGCTGATTATTTGTCGATTCCCCCGATTTCAGGGCATTGTAGCCGGTGTATCTGCATTCTGCAACCCCGTGGTACAGCCAGACTCTTATGTTGGTACTAATCATGTTTCTGACGTCTGCGTGGAGTATTTTATCCGTTTTTTGAAATTCGAACCCAAATTTTGGTAGTAATCATTCGGAATGTTCCGCTTCTCTTGTGTTCATTTTATTGATTAACCTTTCGAAAAGAAACCCGTGGTTCATCTTAGTGTTCATGCATGGGTAGTAATTTGGATGTGACCGGCTTTAAATTTGTTGAAGTATCTTCTTCTGCCCTATTTTTACGCTACTTACGATCATTGGTGTTAGATTTCATGTTTTACGATAATATTGGCTCCAGGTCTCATTTTTCTTTCTTTGCATATGCATGTTTTATCCTAATAAGACTGCTGCAGGTACCCAAGTATAAAGTGCAGCCACTGTCAAATATTTGCTTAAAAACTCTGAGTGTCAAGTCAGCTGGTCGTGACGAGAAGTTTTGCGGAGCCGGGAACACTTTTATACCTTACACGGTTGCAATTCTCTCCGAATATGAACAGTGGCTGCCAAAAATCCATTCCACATTCAGCTGCTAAAAATCACGAACACCATGTCGGCCGTGATTGCATTTTGATGAGACGAATTTTGGTGATAAAAAACAGAGCAGGAGTCGAGTTGAGAGCCTGGTGGTGGAAGGTCCTCTTCTCAAGGTTCTATCAGATCATATTGTTGCGGGGTTTACTCGTAATTTTATACTGTCTAGATGGCCCTCTCAGATCTCTAGCATGGTTTTAACCTAATGCCAGCCCCATATGTGACCCCTCATAATTGTCTTGAAATCAAATCTATCGAGGTCTGCACCCTGTAACCTATTCATTAACTTCTCCACCTTTTGCTGCGATCTTTGATCAGGACTAAGATTTCCAATAAAAGTAATGATCTGCGATCTAGCTTCAGATCTTCTTCCATTCATCCGGGCATAACCGTACGCCCCTTTCAAGATGCTTTACATAGACATTTACTTGATTTTTATATCGTTTTTCTGCGGGTTCACGATCGCTCTAAAATCAGCCGCAACAGGTGGAGCTCAACCACAATTGTCACTAATCCTGCAGAATGGTCTCCAACTCTTTCAATTTCCATGCTTCATCGCCCCTGCATAATGACTTTTCTTTACTAACACGGCACTAAATCATCCCCCGTACTGAAGTACACTGCCTCGTTTTAATCTATTTAACTATTAGATTTGAACTGTACCCAATCCTCGAATATCTGTTTGTTGGTTTGAAATGGGTTCAGATGGTTGGACGGTAATAGTACAGGGTTGGTGTGATGGTGGCGGTGGAATGTCAACATTTATTAGCTGTTATAATTAGGATAATTACTTTATAATTAGGATAATTACTTTATAATTACTTTCCGTAATGAGGTTGCCGTCTCCTGACTGTTTAGGCAAAGTGGCCTAATGATTGTATCATTACCACCACAGTCATGAGTTTAGTAGTCGATTGATTCAATTTCGTACCAATCGTCTTGATGATCGATAATTTGATGTGGCCTAGTGATATTGATATGAGAAATCGTTTTTACTGGTCATCCAACAAACTGCGAATCAAAATTATGTTTCGTAAAAAATAACAGAGAGTTTTGATACACGAATATCACCTCATATTTTAGTATATAACACACTACTATTTGTACGCTAGTTCTGCAGCCCAACAAACCACCTTTATTTCCGGAGAGAAACGGGATCGCTTCTTCTCTCACGGCTGACTAAATTTGGAAATTAGAATTCCTTACTCGATCTGGGTAATTCTGTAATTTTGTACTCATGATTCACATGTAGTAGATAGCGGGTTGAAGTTGTACGTGTAGTGTACCCTCGTACCCTCCTCTATGGCAACAGCTTTAAATATAATTAATAACTGCGCGTATATACTATATTGGATATTTGATGGAAACCTCGAACTTAAACGCTAATCAAATCCTTTTGCTGTTGCACATAGCTTTTAAGGTAAAATGACGCTTTCGTGTGATCAAACCGCTGCCGTTAGACTCTACCGCGAGGGATTTTTAAAAACATGGTAAATGTGGCTATCTACCGTTAGATCTGTTATTACTACAAACGCCTGTATTCGTATCAATTCTCTAAATCACCTGCTTATACTCTGCCATATCTCGTCAAAGCAATCTCATCTGATTTTTTGTGATTAATTTCGAGGTTTGATTGATGTTAACGTTTGTTTCATAAAACCTTAGACCGCTTGTGAGAATATGTGGCATTACTTTCTGTGCAGCAGATTCGTTGTTTAATTTTGTACGCTACCACGACGATGTTGTTTCCACTTTAGAATTAGATTAATTGATTTTACTCCTTGAACATACATGTGATTTACCATACCATCCCTTTTATTAATTGTTTGCCCAGCTCTCTTCGCACCTGGACACACAAGATACCAGGATCACGCGAATACTGGAAATAAACCAACAAACACATGTCATGTTTCTCGGCCATAGGCTTGACAAAGTCTGAACCCGCCTGATATTAGTTTATAGGACTATGATTCGCCTTCAATGCAGCGTAATCATGCCCTGGTGACAAGGCACAATATTAATTATGATTGCAACAGACTGACAAGAAGGCCACCCGGAACCTCGTTCCACCCATTGTATTATTTCTCCCGGCCTCCCTAGTTGGCATAATACCTTCCTCTACCTTGTTGAAATGTTTACCAATTTTAATGGACTTTCGCGAGAACAACTCCTAAAGTTGATATTTAGTATTTACATTAATGTTCGCAGTGTATTGTCTAGTGGTCTGAGCGCTGTTTCTCAATTTGGTTTTGACCACCCGTGGTTAAATTGATACTGCTGTTCCAGTGCTTAAGTAGAATCTATTTCAGTAGCCTAGATCCTCATATTCTGGGGGCTATTTTCATTTTTTGTGGGATCTAATCGATAATCTAGCCGTAGATCTAAAATATTTGCTTTTCATAGGAATTCAAAGTCCGTCGTGATTTTTAATAACCTGATTGTTTCCATGCTTGTTTGTTTCAGAATAGAGTTGGGCTGTTGCTTTGTAGTATTATATCCTAAGATGGTGTTTTTGTCTCATATACGCTGATCTAACTGCGTACAATGCTATTACATTATTAATCGCTCGAGGCGCAGCCGAGCGCAGATTGATACAATAATCACACGAGGCGAAGCCGCGTTCGATTAATGTAGTTATTTATACATGTAGTTTGATTCGCTTATAAGTTCACGCTTCTGGTGTAACAATCAACGAGATTAGTTTATAATCGCACCGACTATATTGTTAAGCTGGGCGGTGCTCAGCCTGTCATATCTTCAATCGGTGTTAATGAACATTAACTCACTAACTCACTAGGTTGTCACTTGTTTATCGCTCACAAAACAGTGCGATTTGTTTATGATACTTCTTGTCAAGTCACAAGTTTTTTTAATAAGTTAATTTATTTATTTAAAAAAAAAAGTATAATATGCAACCTACCCGGAGAGGGAAGTCGCAAGTTTTAAAACTTACATTTAGCCTGTAGGAGGAAATACCGAAAAAATCTGGTGCGATTATGAAAAATATAACTTGCCGTCAAATAGGCCAAAAGTGAAGTTATAAGTTATAACTATAACTGTAAGTTTAATCTAATGATATGTATACATAACGAACACTGAACAAATTGAAATTACCAGCATTAAAACAGTCTTTAAACCATTTCAGAAGTAATGATAGCTCTGCGATGACCATACTGCTTATATTCTAACTCAGATCAAGATGCTCAGCTTACTTCTCATCATTTATCTCCCGATTATTTGCTGGAGCCTCATCAGGTTGGAACAAGATGACACCGAGACTCCTTATCAAGTTCTCATTTACTTCGGGGGCCCAGAGCTAATGTTTGCCGAACTCGACAACAATTTGTACGGCCCCGGCATTGTTGAGGCGTTGGAGAAGATTGACGCAGAATATGATTTTGAGTCCATTTTAGGAGGAACCAATTTGACTTACAAAGTGGCAAACTGTAAAGAATTTTCAGTTTCTGATGCCATGGATTACCTGGAGAGTCAACTGTTGACTCGGAGATATGAAATTAAAGAACATAATAAAACATTCGTGCGGTCCGAACTTTCTCTCATTCTGGGACCCATCCATTTAATCGTCTTTCTAAAACCTTATTGCTATGCCAACCGCTACAATTGTATATTTGGGGTTGGTCGAATCTCAACCGCCTCCGCAAATGCAATCAGTGACGATTTCGTATATCCATACGAACACAACAATCAAGTCACAAACAACATACTTCTCGACAATACCAGGGATGGCCCTGAACCTATTTTTAAACAGTTTTTCGATAAATTTCGGTGGAACTTCCAACAGATCTCGATCTTTGACCTCCGGGGGAGTGATAGTTATGAGCAGAGCCAAAGTCTTATTCTTGACTTGCAGAAATATGCGATCGATCACTCTAAAAATCGGGTTTCCATTGGCTCTGACAAACACAACACAGAAACCACCCTCAACTACACCGATGCTAACGATTACCTGATCAATAAAGTTCCTTACGCTTGCAGAGGTGGGTGCTTTATTTACTTATTTAATTAATTTACTTAATAATATAAAATATTTTAAAACTATTAATTCTATGTGTTCTTACTCGAGCCAAGCCCGCTTTTGGTATATCAATTATAGGACATGTTGTCAATTTTTAAAAAAATTTGGCAGTTTTTATGGCATAAATTGATGTTTTTAGAACGTTTTTGGTCAAGTACAAATTCATTGTTACAAGTTTTTCACGTACATTCAATCTTTGACTGATCGATCAGCCAATCGATCAATCAATTTGATTCATCAGTCAGCGAATCTTTTAGCCAAAAAATTACAAAATTTAGACAACCATGATTTTTAAAAACAGGCATTTAGTATTTCCGAAAAGAATACGGTAATTTAAGGTGAAAGTAGAGACTATTAGATGAAAGGAGGGTTTATTTAATGAAAATCGGGGCTATTGGGCGAGGAATTTAGGGAATTGTCTTTTAAAGCAGGATGTCAATTGACATGAAACACGATAAGAGAAAAAGCTCCTAACCAAAAATGAATTTTTGGGACCACCCAGAACTCTGAACGAAATGAAGAGTATCCAGATGTACTTGGAGAAGCAGAGGGTGTAAATGGGAGAACCCTTACCCGGGACAGAAAGTGTCAGGGTTTTGTGGGAAGGGATTAGAAACCTTAGGAAACATTAGGACAAGTCCAAACTTGATTAGTTGATTAGAGGTGTCCGATCCTACCCTCTATTGGTGGATCATGTACTGAAACAGTGAGCAGTCTACACCTACCGTGTTTAATTTTAATATAAATTATTTCTTAAATTCGTAGTCCAGAATTCGTTTGTAATTTTGCAATCCAGTCGTTATTCTGTGGTCCTGGTTCATGATTTTTGTCGCCTACTTCTTAATCCTCACTCCGCGATCTTGGTCCGGAGAGCATTGTTTTCTTATGTTAGGTTATTAAATATTGTTCCTGGAATTGGCGGGGGACCAAAATGTGTAATAACTAATATATATGTAACGGTGAATGTAGTAGTAAGTAACAGACCTACAAGTATAAGTTAGTTCATTAGAACGCGTGCAATACCAATATCCCAAACTGATCCAACCTGATACAAGCCGATACACAGGTGTGATGATTTACATCATTCATTAGTACCCACAAGGCTATCTAGCTAGCTTGCTTTAGCCACGTCCCTTGATCCCTATAGCGTTTCGATTACCAACGTTGTTTCCTCAGTTTTGGACGAGTTTTGTGAGATGTTATTAATCACTGCAGCTTTCAGGTGAAAGTATAAGTATAACCATGGGGCTCAAAAAGGTTTATCATAATGGTTTATGTAACACTCTGCTGAGCTCGATAATAATTAATTAATAAAATCTTTATAGTTATACGTATTAACCACAAAATTCTGCTTCCTCACAAGAATCATCAATTAGCAAATCACGGTTTATCGTTGTTCCACTATAAGTATGAAGTAAAATATTCGTAACACCAGAGAAGATTGATTTTTTGGTGCCAGTAAAAACACATCAAATAACTTAGCAACAAGTTCAGTTACCCTAAGTAACCCGAGACGTGTACTGTGTAACTTTTAATTGGCGACGGTAAAGTGCGGTTTGAAAAATAATAATAAGTAAGGAAATATATAAATTATCGTTTTAAAAGGTTTACAAAATCGGGCAGATTTTAAAGGTGGTGCACGGTGGTGCAGCAGCGGGCACTTCTAGGATGTGGTAACTTACTGGCAACCCCTATTAACCCCTGGTAACCCCTGGTAACGTCCGAGATATTCTTAGTAATCCCTTGATGACTCATGGTTATCTTTAGTAACCTACAAGTGAGCAGCAAGTTATCGGTGATTGATGTTATCTCTTATTAAATTGATTTTCCTAGTGACCCTTTCGTACCTGACCTAATGATTTGATTTGAAACTTTTACAAATAGTACATTATACAATACAGCAAAGAGAATTAATGGCAATCCTGATATCAGCCTATAATAATTGTGGCTCCTTGTTCTCTTAAGAACTCCTCAGTAATAAGCTACTACCAACCATGTTAGCAACAGCCAACATCATCAAATGTTATGCAATGATTCTGGGGCAACATTTGTAGTGTTCCCGTTTATTGTGACAAGGAAAAGGCTCTTACCTGGATTAGGAGCCGTTTCCTTGTCACAACAAACGGGAACACTAAAAATTTAGCCCCGGAAACATTACAACAATGCGACTAATAAATAATGTTCCGATCCGGATATTACAGTTATGAAACGAGTCGTATTTTCATAACCACCGGCCACCTTACATATAAAGCCAAACCTTTAAGCTGCCCTAATTTGACACATAAAAAAGCCCATTCGCAATATCTTGACTCATTTTAGCAGCCTTAACAAGGCTATTTTTACTTTTAACTTAGTTCACACAATACCACGTACAATACCTCGTCAACTAAATTAGTTTCTGGAGAATGTAAAATGTTTACATGCTCAGCACCTGTTGGTTTACTAACATTTGTTTTACAATTTTAACAAAAATTAAACTGTTTGTCTCATTTTTTAGATTTTGAGAGCCATTCCAAATTTGGACACGAGTCTAAAGTCTTGCACAACCTGTACATAAAGGCCACAGGACAATGAGTACTATACAAGATGAGAGCTATTTGATCCGCGATATACAGGAGAGACCCTAAAAACTTGTTGTTAGAACATAGAAATTGCTTCAAACTTGCAAAGATTTTAGATAATCTGTCGCAAGCTCACAAGTCGGATTGGATACGATGTCACGTGATCATGACGGTTTTTCGCTCATCGTGAGCTTGTAGTATGTATTATGGAATAATTTATTGTAGAATTTCAATCAAATCTGAAGAACAAAATTTCGACAAAAACTTCAGTAAATTCAGTAAACTTTATAGGTTTCGTCACCTTATGAGTAAAACTTTAATTTATTTTTGGAGATACCTTATCGAACATAATTATCACGGACATTACTTTCACGCTGAAGACCTTAGCTTGAATAATTATGTCCGTGAAAGTAATGTCTGTGGCATTAAGGTCCGTGAATAATAAAGTTCGGTAATTATTTCCAGTAATTTTAGTGTGTGTGTCCCTACATATGTGTATTGTGTAGATATGTGTGACGTTGCTGATTACTATATTAGCTTATTAGTATACTAGGACAAATATAATCACTCATCAGTCACATTCTAGAGTTCAGAAAAAGAGTAAAACACTTATTAAAAAATTACCACAAATTTTCACAGTTTTTTGGAAATTTTTGGGCGGTCATGAGCGTGAATAATTATGGCCGTAAAAAATTTGGGCTGTGAAAACTTGTCTGTGACAATTATGTCCGATAAGGTAGTAAGATAGTAACAGTGTATCTACTATAGTAACAGTGTAGTTACTATAGTAACAGTGTAGCTACCATAGTAACAGTGTAGCTACCATAGTAACAGTGTAGTTACCATAGTAACAGTTTTGTTAAAAACTTTAAACCCATTATATGACTGGAATATCACAGCAGCTAGAAGCTCCTGATGGTAGGCAATAAACCTATCATTCAGTTTCGCCATTTAATATACGTGCCATATAATATACGTGCAACAAGATTTAATGAAATAAATCGGCTGCAATATGGACATATCAATCTTACTTTGATATGTCGTGTAGAAAGAGCAAATGTCATACACAATACAGAATACTGCAGGAAATCCTCTTCATATTGGAAGGAGTCTTTCAGATAGTCAGTTATGACCTGTTGTTCCTTTATAGCACGAAGATACATACTAAAATCTACACTAAATACATACTAAGGGTAAACATTTGTTGTGTAATTACAGAATGTGTAGCTCTGTGGAAAAGGTGCCACATGTTACTAAGGGTAAACATTTGGCGATAGTTAGAGTGAGCTGTGTTACAGCCAAGCTGGTCCTTTTTAGCTGTATTGGATAGCCAGAACGATTATCTACAAGATGCACACTTGGAAATACTACGGGTGTGATTCACTCAGATTGTCGTACTGTGATCATGAACATCTGCTCGCGTTGCCAGGGGGTGATTAATGTCTTTTTCTTGATTCTTTTTTGTTTTGTAAATCCTCCTTTTGGCCAAATCTGATCGTGTTATTCGAAAATAGTTTCAACAGTTTCAACAGGTAAGTAATGAAATAATAATGCCGTTCATCTCTACTGAACCTATTCAACTAGGTAGTCATTTTCTTCCGGTCCATCTTTTTCTACTCTTTCTTTTCTCATCTTCCAGTTTGGTTACTGTTAGTAATTATTTTGTTTAGTAGTACTAGTTATTTTTCCGGCGGTTTATATAATTAATATATCTTGAGTTGCATTATTTCGTTAAACTGTCAGTCTCTGACAACTTTCGAAATCGAGTTAAAATATCAACCTCACTAAAATGACAATGTGTCGACTAAGGAAGATAAGTTGTAACCTAACTTAATGAGGAGATAGCCCTTCCTTGACATGACAGTCAATGCTGAGGTCCATGACATGAACACTGTTCATTGAACAAACTGTTAGTGTTTTGTGACATGGGAATTTTGTAGTTAAATCGTGAAAGGTTTAAACATTGAGCTGAAATCATGGATTGTAAATTTGCAATTGTGCCCTAAAAACGTATAAGCACGTATTTATTAACAAATTTATGGTTGCCGAATGCTGCGTTTCAGGTTTCGCTTCCACCGATAAGATATTAGCGCAGGTCACAGTGGTGAGCACATAAAAGCTGACTTAGCCCACGGTTAGCTTACTCGGTGAATAGTACTATTATATAATACATATGTATGAATATTATAATTATGTATTAATTATTATAATTATATATATATGAATATTGAATAGTGCTACGTAATACGTATTATATATAATATATATGTAATGTAGTTCATGATTGACGATGTCAACCCTTCTAGATCGTTGCTCTGCGAATTAACAGAGCAACGATCTCGATGCGAAGTAAAAATGATAGTTTGCACGGCGCGTCGAAGCGGCGAATCCTCCAAGTAAT